GGCATGCTGAATTGCAGACTCCACCTACAAGAATCTCAATTAAATAACATCAAGTTGGAAGGAAAGGCAAAAATAAAGACCACTGCAAACTATCTTTTGTATATCCGGCAGAGTAAATAAAATAATAAGAGGACCATTCAGTCTTTTTTTAAAAGGAAGAAATCAGAGTTACAACTTGGAGAAAAGGTAAATTCAATTTGGAATCAACGTGATATGCCAAATTCAAATTAATTTACCTGGATGAGTAAAACTAAAAACCGTGAATGAAACCCCAAAAGTCATCATAACAGTAAAATCCTTGGAAATTATGTAATACAGCTGACTACACCATGACGTGTATGAGCAGCTAAGACAAACAGTGAAAAACAGAAGTACGATTTTAACTCCACAGTTTTGTTAAACATGGTAATTGAAGTTCGACAAGTGTTCAGACAGACACTGAAGCCTGCGATTCTTCCCGATAATAGTAGTGCAAGTACATGAGAATCAAATTTCCGCACTGACCAGGGCAGCATCAATGTGGCCGAAGTCCAGTCGGCAACCTCCATGCTTGTGCATTTCGACGGCCGCATTTGTTTCGTTCAGAAGTCTCAGGCTCTCGTCGTAAGTCTGATTCAGAGACCATAGCTGGGCCTGCCCCATTAATAAGCATAACATTAAGCAAGGAGATGAGCAAGAAACAAAGAAAAACAACCACGGAAGGAGGCTGAGACGAACTTTGACGGCTTTGCAGCCCAGAGAGGTGGTAGCGAAGGAAGCGACCAAATCGCACAGCTTATCCCATTCCAGCACTCGGAGACTGTCGTAGTGAATAGAAGAAGAGGAAGCAGCCAGCGATTGCCTGAGTCTATGGTGGAATTTATTAATTTTAATGGTAATCGGGAAAGTGTATGAGGTGGTGGAGATGGAGATGGCTTGTACATGAAAACATGTTTCGGGTCTGTTAAGTGCGTTGAAGTTGGAGAACAATTGCTAGTGACACTCGTGCTCAATGGTATACATGCTCCAATACAATACACAGAAAAACAGGATAGAGATAGACAAAACCACCATAGATGACGCTTGCATTGCTCCGCGCTTGTGGATTGTGGAATACCGAATGCCAGCGATCGGCTCGTCACCCGAAAATAGTTTTAATTTGTATGATTTTATTTAGATGTAATTATTATTTTTAAATTTTAAATTTGAAGCCTGTCTGTAATTATATCGAGAGTTAAATGATAAATTTATTTTTAAAAGGTTTTTTAAAGGCGCCCCTAACATTTTAAATTTTTTTTTGAAATATTTTGCCCCCAATTTTTTAAAAAGAGAGTATTTTTATGCCATCGTTCAATATAAAAAACATTGACCATTAAATTAAAATTTTAACCAAGAGTTAAAGGACATATTTGTCCTAAATCTTTTTTTAAAAGAGTGTTGTGCATCCTGAATTTTGTTTGGAGCCTTTTTGTCCTAAAAGTTTTTAAAAATAGAGCAATTTTACTCTTTATTTTTCTGCATCGTCGTCTTTTTCTTTCTCTTTCTCTTCCACCAGCAAGCTCCCAAGCTACCATGGATTAACATCCAAATGTAAAGTCAAAAAAAATAGGTATCCAAGATTTGTGAGTATCACAAGAAAGTCTCAAATCTAACTCAGCACTTTCACCCCTCAAAATGACTATTTAAGCCCACAACATTGTCGCTTTGTCCATAAAAGGCAAATTCGTCATTCTTAACTTCCTGTAGATTATCATCACCCTCCCCTAACTTGCAACATGCTCCTCGCATAACATCCAAGCCCTTACTTTCGCCACCGCCATCGTGATCAAGTTTGTTATTGTGAAACTCTCAAAAGACTCCAAGTCAAGGTCAAAGTTGTCATAGTTGAGTGAGATAATGGAATTTTCAAAATAGAAGAAGAGAACTTTCATGTGACCGAGTTCATATGGATTAACTCAATAAATAGTTAATTGTTTTTGAATATAAGTATGGGTTCGGATGATTTGAAACTGCTTGTTGTTCTTGTTCTTGTTTAATGTTCATGGAGTTGTGCTTGTTATTGTTATTGATGTTAATGGAGGTATTCTTGCTATCTAGGTGAATTTTTCTAAAAAAAAATTTAAAATGCTACGTGGTTACAAGCCTACAAGTGACAATTAAAGTTAAAAGTAATGATCAATACTAATGGCAAGATAAAATTGTGTTCCTTTTAAAACCTTCAAGGGAAATAAGTTTCAAACAAAAGTTTAGAATACCTAGTACTCTTTGAATAAAAGTTTCAAGACAAATATACCATTTAACTCTTTGTCAAACTTTAGTTTAATTGTCAACATTTTTTATATTTAACAATGAGCTAAAAATGTTTCAAAAAAAGTTTAGAATGCCCTGCACCTTTGGAGAAAAAAATTTAAAGATAAATTTACCATTGAACCCTTGAATCAAGTATGAAGAGCACAAAAATACTGTGCATATGGAGCCAATAGCTTCTTGCCATCTTATTGCATGGTTCGTGAAGGTGATTCGATTCGAATTGTTGAATTGGATTGGGTGGAGGGTCAATTGTGGTTGTGTGGGCGTGGCGTAAGCTTTTCCGGAGTCGCATCAATTTCACTTTCGAATGAATAAAGAAAAAAATATGGTCTTGGAGGACTAGAAAATAACCATCTCTGTTTTCATATTTCATACAGTTAATCGTTCGAAACCCCTCACAAAATTATCATTGACACTAGTTATAATTACAATTATATTGTGATAAGAGATTACCTAACCTTTTATATATATACCATTTGTTTTAAGGAATCTAGACTTAGACAGTGAAAGTTGAAACTTACCTTGCCAGATTCAATCAACAATACTCCATTTATTCCAAATTATAAATTACTTCAAAAGAATTCTGTTATCACAAAATATAAGATAATTAAAAAATATAAAATTTATTAATTCAAGTAGGGAAAGCATTAAAATAATATTATAAACTAATGATTAAGTGTGTAGGGATATTTTTTAAAGTTTATAATTTTGTTTTAAAAAAGTAAGTATGTAAAGTGTCCTTATTGTGTTTACTAGTATGCGTAGTCCTATCTCATATTATCTTATAATCTAAAACAAGAAAGTAAAATGAAAAGATTCAATCTTCCAATTTAGCACTTTTCAATTTATTAGTTTATTTTCTGCTTAAAATTATCCTAATAATGATTTTATATTAAGCTTAATTGAAATTATCTTTTTTTTTGAAGTCTTAAACAAACTAAGCCCTAAGATAAAACTCCAAGAAGGAAAAGTGTCACTATGTGAGACACTATTGTAGTGTTGTCAAATTTTTAAATTGACTTTTGGAAATAATCATTTTTACATTTTAACTTATAAAATTGTGTTATCATAAACTCGAATAGATGTAAACTCGATTGAACTTGTAAATTAACTCTTTAAACTTATCATTTTTACATTTCTAACTTACAAAATTATATCATTTTGTTCGTAAACTCAAACTAGATATAAATTTGATTATACTTGCTAAATTCATTAATTTTTATCGAGTTGAGCGAGTTTAGGTATATATTGTGTAGAATTCAGTTTATAGAAGCAATAGGATCCAATTGAAAGAAAATGAAACTCAAAAAGGAAAAAATTAATATAAATAAAAGAGAAAAATAAGTTGTATAATTTTGAATTTCTACATTTAGTGCGATAATATATTATTGTGGATAGATTTAATTTCAATTATTTATATTTAAAATGCATATGAATTAAATTATGGTCATACTCACTCCTGTTCAAAATATAAACATTTCCTCTTCCTCTCAGATAATCTTGTTTCAAAATATAAACAATTTAGTACATGCAAAAAAAATTATTTTACCTCTTGTATTTATTAACCTAATTTTTTATACAAATATATCTCTTACTTATCATGAGATGCATTGGTAATTAGAACTAAGGGTAAAAGGAGAAATAATATATATTGTTATGAAAATAAGAACTTTATTTGTATACGTTTTTTTCCTTAAAAATGACTTATATTTTAGACCGAAAGGATTTCTTTATATTTTAATTATTTAATTGTATACTTTTAATAACAATTTATTAACAGATTTGAGTTTACATACGAGTTTACTTGAATTTGACAACTTATATAATCAATTAGATGTATATTATTTGTCTTTTATTATATTTTTATTATAAGACACTTTTAATTATTTCATGTATTTTAAAAAAATTATTTTTTATATTATAAAAAAATAATGTACTTTTTTTAATAATACAATTGTATTAAATATTTTTACATTAATAAGAAAAGATAAAATTGAATAAATAGCTTAATTAATACAAATTATAAAGTATTATATATTTTAAATTAAAATTACTTTTAAAAAATATCCCATAAAAGGAAGTATTATCCACCGAATCAAAATGCAATAAAAAAAATCACTATTATGGGAAAGGAAAAAGAAAAGAAGGAAAAGCATAATGATTAAGTTTAGAAAGAATTTGAAAATTGATGGCGCTCTAATCAAAGAATCTACTGGAATTATAATCAAGAATGGACGAGCAAGGAAGTCACTAGTATTACAAACAATATTTGCTACTAACAACACTAAGGTTGCGTTTGGTTTAAAGGAAAGAAAAGAGATAAAGGGGAGGGGAGCAAAAGGATGGATCCCTCAATTTGGATGGGGGGGGGGTTTTAGAGAAGAAGGGAGGGAAAATTTTTCCTCCCCTCTCCCAACCAGTTAGGGTCTAATAGAGAGATCAAACAAACTTTTCATCAAAAAAAATAGAGAGAAAGAGGAATCAAACAAACTTTGAATTGCAAAATGTTATAATATAGAAAGTAATAAATCCAACCTAACTCGAGCATGAATGAGATTTGAAATCTACCCTTTTAAGCGTCACTTTAAGAACTTATCATTTGACGTCGCCCATTTCTTTCACGCATACAGCTCAGCATTTAGGATTCTTGTTCCCATACTCACAGACACAACCTTTGTGCGTACTGGCGTGTGATTGTAACAAGACAGTGCATGGCATTTTTCCTGCATTATTTTCCTCGACTTCATCCCTTTCTCTAATATGAATTTCCATAGCCCTACTCCCCCTGCGACTTGTTTCTTTCACACACACAGAGACAAGCTCAGATCTCAGCTAGCTAAAATTTTTTGGTAGGATTAGTCGGAGATAAAGAATCAAGTACCCAGATGCCCGGAAGCATAAAAAATCATTCCCTTCTAAGGTACAATTCTCCATTTGTTCAAATCATCCTCATTAGTCTAGTCTGCTTTTATTGTCCTAGCATGTTCAATGCTCTCTTTGGAATGGAAGGTGGTGGTCAAGTTGATCCCACTACATCCAACAACTCTCTCACTGCCCTTTACACCACCATCGCTATTTTTGGCATTCTCAGCGGTGCAATCTACAATATCCTCAGACCCACATATCCATCTTCACAGGCTGCTCCATCTATATCCTCTACTCCAGTCCCTTCCTCTACTACAACTATTACGACCATCAAGCCTTCACCATAGTCGCAGGTGGTCTTCTTGGTGTAGGTGTCGGTCTTTATGTAAGGTGCTAGCATAACATCATACCCTCTAGTAAATCGAAAAAGGACTTATGTTTCTATTTTCTGCAGTATATTCAACATGGGCAGCCTGATCGGTAGGTTAATTCATTTTATTCTAAATTACCATCTTACTAAGGCTTCTTCTACAAATGATGGAACCTATATAGGCTTTATGTGTTTCATGTCTCTTGGGGCCATTTTATCATTAGCTATCTTGCCACCTAGCAAGGAGGTTCGTGATGATGGGATAAAGTGTACAAATATCTTGTACTCCAATATGTCTGGCGAGGCTTTGGAGATTCTAAAGCTGTTCGTTGATTGGAAAAACCTTATAATAGTTCCCGCCGCCTGATGCAACAACTTCTTTTATACTTACTAGTTCAATAATGTTAATAGGGTGCTGTTTAATTTGAGGACTAGAGGATTGAACAACGTGTTCTATTAGGGAGCACAAATGGTAGGCTCAATGGGAATTGGATACATCATGGATTTTAGTTTTAAGAGCTGAAGGAAGAGAGGGTTTATAGGAAGTTGTGTGGTTGCTGTTGTTGGGTCTTCTATATGGGGTTATGGA